ATGGCTGATCTACTGCTGTTGTTGATAATGTTGATAATGCAGATACCTTTCCCACTGAAAATGGAGTAACAAAACTTGTCAAGTAATTGGCGTATATGGAGTAGCACTTGAGAGGATTTCTGAACATTTGTAAGTTTGCACAAGTAACTGATGGCGCATCACTTGGCCTTGTTTTGACACGCAGTCGGGGATGAGGCACGCCGTATTGCACTACGGAAAAGGCGAAAATTCCAATAAGTTGGAGGGAGGCATGGGAAATTTCAGTGAATATTGTGCAGGTCAAGCCAACGAGACCGAACAGCACTATCTTTCGTTTTCGCACAACAGAGACCAAAAGGATTTAATTGACGCGTACCCCAATAAACTGAGGAATTTGGCGTGATCCAGCAATTTCTGTAAATGCTTGGGCGACAGTCTCATATGCAATCGGATCGTTCTAGAAATCAATGTTGAAAGTACGACAACGGGGTATTTGCGATAACGCAGGTTATTACTCCAACAGAGCAGTATTATCTGCAACATTGAGTCCTTGAACACCTATCAATACCAACAAATGAAGCTCGCAACATCTGCAGTATTTTGTGCTGTTTCCATAGGCAAAGCAGCAAAGGCTACAAATTGGGACTGAACAGCTACAAATTTTGCATCACGCAACATCCGATCACCCGCGAACAGTGTCTCACTTGGGGACGAAAATTCACCAAATTTAAAAAAGAACCACTTTGCTCGTTGCTACCAAGCAACCCGTGTGAATGCGGTCGTTCGTTATTAGTCCTCTGCAGATGCAGAACATTCAATTGGCAACGTGTCTTTGAGGGTACCGAAAATTGTGTCTACCCAAGCCTTTGGCAAGATGACGAAACCATAGGATTCCAGTTACACACAGGTGCTACTGTGAAAATTCTACCAAGGAAGCACTCTCCCAGAGTGTACATTTGATCCGATCAAAATGGCCTGTGCATGCAGAATGGTTCCGTACTTCATCCGAAGGGCTTAGCTGCATTCCAACTGGTTGACACAAGAGACGGAGCCTTACATCGACTGGATTTCGTGAACGTAGTGGAGCAGCTGACGCCAATTCTCGGCACTGATTAGATACAGACAATCGGTTTGCTTTTTTAAACATGATAGTTTTGCGAAGGATTGCCAGGAAGAGAAACCGATTTTAGTGAAAACCATCCGTCTGGTTTTAGCCCATGTTTGGGAAAGGTTGAGGGAACCGCTCACTTGTCCTTAGATCCTTTGGTGTGACCGACAGCGTTACCGGCTAGGAAAGTTCCATTTGCACGGCGTGACGAATTCTCAGCTGAATTGAGCAAATTAGTGAAAGCGAGTGTGATTGCCAAATTTGACGATTCAAATGGTTGCCTTAGTCAGGCAGCAATCATTACGAATAAGACGGACGAACTACTTGTGTCTATTGACCGAAACCCGTTGCATGTGGCTTTGCGTAGAGAGCATTATGCGCTACGTACTCCGGAAGACCTTTGGCTGCGTTTGGTCAAAGCTACTTGTTTCACTAAGGTAGATCTCTCTTAGGCATTTTGTCGCGTTATTCTAGATGGTGAATCCAGTTTCCGTTTCGGCGTTATTGTTGATTGTGTTTACCGTTTTGTTTGGTATCTATTGCGTTTTTTGAAACCGATTGGTATAAGCGATAGACGCTTTAAATAGTGTAATATGCTTGGCAGACTATGTTTTGCTTTATGACTCAACAGCATAAGAACATGACGCTATTATCCCCTGTTATTTTACAGCGTTGTATGCAAAACAACATCAAGGTTTAACGTAAAATTATGGATATTCGGAAAGGTGGGGTAATTTTGCATGGGTATCTGCTAACAGCATAAGAGTTCAGGGTCGAGTCAGGTAACAGTAAGGTAATTCTTGGAGTGCCACTTTCTAATGACGTGAAGGGAATCCATCGCCTAAACGGCACGGTAAATTACTTGAGCCGTTTTACGCCAACACTCGCTGGTATCGTGACACAGATCAGGAAGTTACTCTAAAAGGAGTAATGAGAAGTAGAATTTTAAAAAAAACAGGAAATCACATTCGAAATTATTAGGCACCTCATCAGCAACGCGCCTGCATTCGAGTATTACGATCCAGCCAGCCTTTGGAGGCACAGTGTGACAGTAGCCAAGACGGAATAGGTGCTGATTACTTAGGTAATTGAAAATTTTTGGATTTCCGCAGTCGAGCATTCACCGTGACCAACTAGTGCTACTTGCAGATTGAGAAGGAAATGCTTGCGGTTGTCAATGCCATGAAGCGTTTCAACCGTAATGCTTCATGAAGAAAGACAATGTTGTATGTCGCCTGCGCCAATAATCAGGAAACCGCTACACATCCTTCATCGGTGCCTTCAGTGTATGCTTATCCGGCTTCAAAATTAAGATGTCGATATTGTATGTACGCCTGGAGACGGAGGCTTATCGCGGATAGATTTTCTAGAGCTGAGCTGCCGGAACAAGAGAAAAATCCGTAAGAGGTCGGATAAGTAAGCGTAGAAAAAACCTGGCGGTGACAGAAGATCGCCTAATATTAATAAGGCGCCACACATGTTAATATGCAATGCGTTCAACTATGCAAGACTGATGTAAATGGGTGGCGAGAGACAAAGAAGCAGCTGCCAAAGGAACTAACATCCTACTTTCATTTACTGGATGAACTCTCTATCTTTGATGGTTTGCTGTTCAAGGGAAGCCGTATAATGATTCCGTCATCGCTCAGAGGAGAAATGATAAATTAATTTCATCGCGCTCACATTGGTACCAACCATAGCCTTAACTGAGCTAGAAAATTGATCTTTTGGCCAGGAATGACAGGTGGAATAAAAGATCCAGTATGCAATTTTGAGGCGTCCCCTTCACACGAAATCCGGCAGACAAAGGAACCAATGATGCCGTATGATGTCCCTGACCCACCATGGCAGAAGTTGGCACCGGATTTATTCACTGATAACGGGAAAGATTACTTACCCAAAGCGGATTACTATAGTCATTATTTTGCAAGTAATCTATTCACCACTGCGGCCACAGAGACAGTAATTAACAAACTCAGATGTCAACATGCGCGGCACATTATAGTGGAGGAGCTAGTCTCGGCCAATGGGCCCCACTTTACAAGCTGTGGTCTCCAAGGGTTCGATACAAAGTTGGAAATCGTGTACTAGAAATGCACGCCATATCACAGTCAATCGAATGGAAATGCCTAGATGGCAGGGAAGCATAACAACCGCCTGTAATTAAAGGCTAGACTAACTGGCGAGGACCCGGACCTCATGCTACTGGAGAATGGAAACACTGTTTCAAAGTGTATAGGTTTGGAGCCCCATGCAGCGCCTATGCAGTCAAAGGACTAGAACTCTGATACCGGCATCTGCCACAAATTTGCGCCTACGTTTCCCACAGTACGAACGGTTACAGAACAATCTGAGACGACGAATGACCACTCAGAACCGATAATACGACCGTGGTGGCCTGGAACTACCAGAAGTAATAGTGGTGGAATAAGTGTTATTTTAAAAATTACCCATTAATCAAGAGCGGTGGATAGAGGTTTATTGACTGCGAGGGTCGGTGCCGTATCACAGGAAATAAACTTTGGAGGGAAAAGGTTCAGAAAAAATCTAATGCATGTTAGACTACACTGAAGAAAAAAATGTGATTTAGGAGTGGAGTGTCAGATGGCGTGGTGCAAGGAGACCACGGCCGCAGACCCAGTAAGGACGACGCGGTGTGGCAAGGTGTACGAGGTGGATAAACATGGTTGCGCAAGAACAGGATCAAAAAGGAGGAGGTGAAGTTAGTAGCATATGATGTGGGGCAGCTGGACTAACCGAGTGAGCCAGACAGCCGACGGGAAGCAAGCGTGACGAATTTGATTACTAGACTCGAACTGAATTATATTCGTGTGGGCGATTCACCGTTCGTTTACTTGAAGCAACTGAGGCATTTCACCGATTTAGAACGGTCGTTATTTATGAATTTGAACGTGCAATTCATATCGATGAGTTTTGTTTAATAAACATGCTATAATGTTCACTGAGATGTCTATGACGAATAAACGCTCTTCCCTGAATTAATGAGTTTACAACAATTAGCACGTTAGGGAGCTGAGAAAGGTTTTCAGGATATTTGACAAAGATATGTTGCCAATGATGCACAATGCTTATTTGCGCCTTTCAATTGAATACGCCAAGATGGCTTGAGTTTATTGGTTGAAGATGGAATCATAATTGCTAGATGCACCATAACGCAGGGTAAGCATGTTTTAAAGCCTTGCGCAATCACTCTTACTAGCGGATGATGAAGCTGCTGGGAGTTTTCAGAGAACGATACCAAAGTTCGCGTAAAATATCGGTTAACCCTTCAATGGATGCCGAAATTTGCTGAAACCGAGCTACAACACGCAGCATGGATGTAACTATTTGATATTGAGGGCACGATACTACCGTCTATAGTGTTGAAGTAATAAATTTATCTTTCTAAATAAGAGAATGAGAAGACTGGTACTGCGAGATGGAATCATTTCGTGTAATCTACTCACCCGAAAACTAAAGGCAACAAAAAGAAAAGTCGAGAAGTTGAAAATGGTCACAAAGGAAAAGGATAAATTTAACACAACAGGAAGCTGTATACCGAGATAAATTCCTATTGTCTCCAAGGACCCTAAAGAAATTTAGCATCGCATTCCCTTATTTGTCGACAGTATTTAGCTAAGAATCTTTAAATGCAAGATCAGGTTTTCCTTAAATTTTTGTTGTCCCTGAAAATTGAAATCCAGTGGACATTCAGTTAACAGACCTGGTTGAAATTTTTTATAAAACGTCAATTCCATTTAAAAACCGAAAACGTAATTCTCCTAGATTAACCAGGATTTGATAGGATTAAAATGGTTTGCAAAAAATAACAGCTCTATACTAGCAGTCGATTTAAAAATACCACTTCATTGGTGATTTTCGTTGCACTGATTAAATATAATCTTTGTTCTTAATGAAAATGCCAGTAGCAAAGTTCCGACATCCGACGCTATTTTGGTGTGGAACCATTATTTTTATTCGAGTTTCCCCTGCTCTTAAACAATCGGCACCCGTATTTGAACTCACGCTGATATCAAGTAGCGCTGATTTGGCATTAAATGAAGCACAGATACCTTATGAGAAACGGTAAATCAAGTTGAAACAGTTATTTCATAAAATTTTTGAACGTGTCACCATGTATGGCCGTCAATGACCGATTATAAAATCGCAATTCATGGAGACGCAGCTACTATCAATTTAAGAAATATAACAACGTGAGATTAAATAGCATATTTTTCTTAAACGTCATGTAGTAATTAGACAAACGGAAAGAGAATATGATTTGCGCAGTTATTTACGATAATTTTTATGTTCCACTCGAAGTGTGTGTGAACAAAGGAAGGTACAAACCCTTGAGAATTGCGATAGTTACTAACATTAGTGGTCTAAATGTTCACTGAGCTCGACAGTTTAGCTGCAAACGTTTCACCACTATTCGAGGCGAAATCGCCAGTTCGCGGTTACGGAGCGGAGCGGCACGGTACAAAGTGTCAGTGAGTGTGAGTGATCCATCATCCAGAAGTTAGCCTTAGTTTGGATCGTTCGGCGGGCACATGACCATCAAAAACGATCTCTGATTCCTTCCTCGCAGCGTACGCGCGCGTCTCTTCGGTCTTGACCGTCGTTTACTCACAGTATACAGCGGGGGGTGGGTAAGGGGGGGGGGGGGGGGGGGGGGGGGGGGGGACGCCAACAAACGGGGGGGGCAACAATTAAAAAATATAAGAATTAACATTAACTCTGAGGTTTAAATCAC